TGAAAAATAAATCATAAAAAACTGTGCGACTTTTATTTGGAATGAACCTGAATTTCGAAATGTGAAAGGAAGAAACAGATAAGTTTAATAAAAAAAGAAAGATTAATAAATTGTTGGGATTTATATTTAAATTTTAGTTCACACTTTCTTATAAGCCTTCATTCCCCTAAGTGTCAGTGCCAGAGTAGTTAAATTAGGTAGCGCGCGTGACGTGAATGGAAATTCTACTTTGAGGAGAAAAAGTTTAAAATACCGAGGTTTTAGAAGGGAAGTGGGATTGGATTGGATTATTCAGTTATGGCAAAGCACACGGGGGCTATCTGCCTAAAGGGAGGGATGCCTTTCGTGGAGGACTTTCTAAGGGAAACTGGCTCGTATACACGTTACACATGGGGAAAACCACGAAAACGCCCATGCAGCCAGCCCGTTCGCGGGATTCGAATCTCGGACCGAACTACCAGTGTTCAGCGTCTTTACCGCTCGGCCGCTGGTGGGCCTAGAAGGGAAGTGGGAGAGTTGGGGTTTGTCTGATTGCTTCTTCAAGTGGCTTAAATGCATTTATCTGCTGCCACTAGTTTTAGAAGGGGGTCGAAGTTCGGTATCTTGCTAAGCCCTGTAGGTTAGTTTAGCACTTGTTAAATATTTCAACTTTTGATTTTCAATTACCCGCTTTTCAGTTACCGCCTAAGTAGAGGCAAAATCTGTTAGCGTCGGGTTGACGCAGTGTAAATTTTAAAGAGTTAATAAAGGGTTTGAACTCTTCTTCTGTGTAGTTTCCTGCTACTCAAGTATACAAATAGAAGTTAACCCACGTGGACATTACAAAGTATATACCAAACTCAATTAACATGGAGGAGCTACATAAACTAATATTGAGGGCTAATATTTTAAAAAGTACTCGTGCAATTTTTACAAATCTTGGTAGTTTGGCGTAATTTGAGTGATTCAATTCAATCTTCAATCACCAAAGCTTTTAGGACCTGTCTTCTCTGAGTTCTCTTCCTCAAAATTGGGGGCGGAACTTGAGCTAAGGTGAGCTGTCACCTCTGTGCTGCTCAAGGCTCTTGCCAAACAGGCGCAATTCTGCACTTCATTACTACAATAAATTTCGCTGGGAGACCCTGGGACCCTCGGACTCTTCCCCCCCCCGGGGGCTATTTTTCAAAATTGGGGGGGGGTGAGCTGAAGTCGGGTAGTCACATACATGGTGCGCAAGTTCTCTTGTCGACAACAAGCATATTTGACTCTTGCCCTGATGAATGTCGTGGGTTTTTGGTAACACTTAGTAAACAAAAACAATGCAATTTTTGTATCCTAAGTCGTACATGAAGAGTTTAAAATAGAAAGTAAATTGTTTTTTAGTCGAAATAAGACAGCGTGTTACAAAATAATTGCTTATGAAGCATTAAGATAAGTATTTACTCTTTTTTTAAGTCCACTTTATGGAAGTTGATAAGATAAATCGGAGAAGATAGTTAAATATTTTTTTTTAAACTTCCCGGCAAGAGGATTCATTATTTCATTCTTTCAGTTAATATGATTGAGCAAAAAGTTTAGATGCGTTTATTTAAACTAGATAATACCTGTGTTATTTTACCCAAGGTAAAATTGCCTCCAATTTTAATCAGGAAAGAAATTCATTTTAAAATGGATAGAAAAACTGCGTCTAATAAAGCAAAATGAAATTATACAAATTTGAAGCTTTCATTCATTACAACATACTATTTTCGCACATTTTGTTTCAGCTTTTCAATGTGTGATTCTTTACTTAGATGAACAAAAAAAGTTATATCTTATCATTTCGCTTAGCAGCAAAGTAAAAGCAAGTTTACTTAGTAACTAGCTTACAACCTCACTTTACTTAATATTACCTTACAAAGGATATATAGAAGAAACGTCTGGTATAACTTAACAAATATTTATATTCTGAAAATGCTATAAGAAACCTATTGTAGTATTATTTCAAATGTTTTGCCTCAGGATTTTAATGATTTTTTTTGTTCTCATGATTTTAATGGAACTTAACATTCTTATCATTTCTGAACATATAGAAAAGGAATTAAGAATAATAACATACTGTCAGAATTTTACATTATTGTATTTACTTCATATATTTTACTTTCAAATACTACAACTAAGTATGTCCACTTCACAGTTGATGTCTCTATGGCTCAGAAAGTTTTTTGCTTCTCCAAAGATACAGTACTCAAAAGAAATTTATACTTTTCACTTCATTTCATTAACCATCATTCCATTAAACGTTTTAGATAGTTAACGTGAGCTTTTTTTATGCTCTTTGATCTGTAGAAAAAAATGTGAATACATTTCAAAAGAAATTACCTGTTTCTTAAGAATAATGCATTTTAAGACTTGCTATTTTTGTTACCAATCTCGCTTGGCTGTCAATGGTCAGCACAAGCCCACGATATTCATCGTAGCTAGGAGTCATATGCTCCTGTCGTTGGCAAGAGCCTTGGACACCATAAAGGAGTGATAGGCTCCTGTCTTTGGCAAGAGCATTGGACACCATAAAGGAGTGATAGGCTCCTGTCGTTGGCAAGAGCATTGGACACCATAAAGGAGTGACAGGCTCCTGACGTTGGCAAGAGCATTGGACACCATAAAGGAGTCATAGGCTCCTGTCGTTAGGAAGAGCCTTGGACAGCATACAGAATTCATATGCGCCTGCCGTTAGCAACAGCCTTCAACGTCATACAGGTGGTAGTCCGAGTTTAGCTCACTCTTGCCACCAAGATTCAGCAAGAGCGCCCCTAGGGTCTCCGACTCCCCTTCCCTACCAACAACTTCTTCATAGGACTTTCGGCTCATTCCATATTCAGAGTACCTCCATACCGCACAGACAGTATACATTTACAAACAACCAAACCTTCTCCGGGATTCGACTCCCATCCCTTCGGCATGGCAGTCAGAGTTACTAACTATTCGCCCATTCGGTACAAAGAACTACTACATCATTTAAAGCCTTATGGATGATATCAGGTCAAGTAATGTACTTTCATTAGTACGACACTTGAAGTATAATGTCACGACCTGAGCTTAATCTCAGTGTCACCTGTAAATGTGCTCAAGGCGCTGGCGTCACTTACCCTCCTTGCCACGAGGTATTTCATGGGATTGTTCTGATGTTACTGTCAGACAAGTGAGATAAGTCACAATCAATCAAATGCAGTTCTATTTCGCAAAAGCCAGTCGTCCAGTTTACTAGCTACTCCCAGAGCCGCCTTGTTCAAATTGAAAGTTGGCGCCCTTTATGGGGTTCTGTTGCACTCATACAAAGTGCTGCAAATTATGTGTGAAATACTCTTTTATAATATTCAAAATTTGACTTTCGAACTGAAAAGCTTTAGAATTATAATATCAAACACGTGTTTGTCTTAGTGTTTTTTATTATTTCTTAAATTTTAAAAACTAAATAATGATAAAACATTTTTTAAGTAAAATATAAAAATTTGAAAAATATATTCAAATATTGATTCCCCTAGCTTTAGCAGCTACAAACGCGCTTATCAATTCCTTTATATTTAATTTATCCAAAATTTGGCTCTCTTTGGACACACGACCAGTCCGATAATTTCTCCGGCGCCATCGTAGATCACATGTAGTTTTTATACTTTTAAGTTTTGAAAAATTTCGTTCTCCAGTAGCCACCGAAAACTCTCAGGGTTAAAAAAATCCGTAAAATTTATTGCAATATTTGGAAATGTATCGGTAAGATTGTTTTAATAAATATAATTTAAAACATCAATATGTGACAAATCCTCTTTGGCAAAACGTCGCAAAGATTTTATTTCTTCAAACAAATTTAATCCGTCAGTATCCTTTCCATTAACATTTTTAGTATCCATTAACTTTTGTTCTAATCCTCTACAATGCTTTAAAATTTCTTTGTCACTCCAGTTTTTTAAATTAGGTATATACTGAATTGAAGTAAATGTAATGTTCTTTTAATCGACTGAATATTTCAATAATTGAAGAAATAGTAGTGTCTAATATTATATTGTAATATTCAACCTTAAATTTTTGTTTCAGATTTTTGATTGGTTTGTTCATCTTGAAGTAGTTTCTTTTTAAACCAGTTTCGACTTAAAACCTGTTTCGAAAAAAACCCTGTTTTGTTTCGACTTAAAAGCCGTTTTTTTAAACCTATTTCGAAACTCAGTATCCACCCCAAACCATCAGCAACGATACTTGCATTGGCAATTGCGTGTTCACACGCTTCATCAGGTCTACGATTATTGAGTTCTGATCAAAGATTTTGTAAATTGTCAGTCACGATTTGTAAATCACTTTATTTCATTTACCACGTTTACTAAATTTAAAACATCGCGTCAGATGTTAATGGAACAAATGAATTTAAACGTCAAACCATCTGAATCAACTCTTTTGCTTGAGTTCTTAATTCTACGTCTCTTGTTTGATCTTCTTGAATATTTATAAACGCTCTCAAATTTCCCTTCGCCCACCAGCGGCCGAGCGGTAAAAATCGCTGAACACTGGTAGTTCGGTCCGAGGTTCCAATCCCGCGAACGGGCTGGCTGCATGGGAGTTTTCGTGGTTTTCTCCATGTGTAACGTGCATATGAGCCATTTTCCCTTAGAAAGTCTTCCACGAAGCCATCGCTCCCTCGAGGCTTTGCCATAATCACACACACAAATTTCCCTTCAAATCGTTTTCTTCGATCTCCCGTTGCGTCTTAAACTGAAGCCCAAAGCCTGAATTCTACTTTTTCATCTGGTGTTGGACAGTGGTTTTAAAGTAATATATGTTTCCTCCTGCTGCTCCTCCTCCTGCTACTTCTCCTCCTTCTGCTCCTCTTCATGCTGCTCATCCCTCCTGCTGCTCTTCCTCTTGCTGCTCCTCCTCCCGCTGCTCCATCTTCTGCTGCTCCTTCTCCGGCTGCTCCTCCTCCTGCTCCTCTTCCTCCCGGCGGCTCCTTCTAATGCTGCTCCTCCTCCCGCGGCTCCTCCTCATGCTGCTCCTCATCCGGCCGCGGGAGGAAGAGGAGCAGAATGAGGAGCAGCCGCAGGAGGAGGAGCAGGAGGAGGAGCAGCCGGAGGAGGAGCAGCATGAGGAGGAGCTGCAGGAGGAGGAGCAGAAGGAGGAGCAGCATGAGGAGGAGCCGCGGGAGGAGGAGCAGAATGAGGAGCAGCCGGAGGAGGAGCAGCATGAGGAGGAGCAGCATGAGGAGGAGCCGCTCGAGGAGGAGCAGAATTAGGAGCAGCTGGAGGAGGAGCAGCATGAGGAGGAGCAGCATGAGGAGGAGCCGCTCGAGGAGGAGCAGAATTAGGAGCAGCCGGAGGAGGAGCAGCATGAGGAGGAGCAGAATGAGGAGCAGCCGGAGGAGGATCCGTGGGAGAGGAGCAGCATGAGGAGGAGCCGCGGGAGGAGGAGCAGAATGAGGAGCAGCCGGAGGAGGAGCAGCATGAGGAGGGGCCGCGGAGGAAGAGGAGCAGAATGAGAGCAGCATGAGGAGGAGCCGTTGGAGGAGGAGCAGCATGAGGAGCAGCCGGAGGAGGAGCAGCATGAGGAGGATCAGAATGAGGAGCAGCATGAGGAGGAGCCGCGGGAGGAGGAGCGGAGTGAGGAGGAGTCGCGGGAGGAGGAGGAGCAGAATGAGGAGCAGCCAGAGGAGCAGCCGCGGGAGGAGGAGGAGCCGTTCGAGGAGGAGCAGAATTAGGAGCAGCTGGAGGAGGAGCAGGAGAGGAGAGCAGCATGAAGAGGAGCCGCGGGAGGAGGAGGAGGAGCAGCAGGCAGGAGGAAACATATATTACTGTAATACCACTGTCCAACACCAGATGAAAAAGTAGAATTCAGGCTTTGGGCTTGAGCTTAAGACGCTACGGAAGATCGAAGAAAACGATTTGAAGGGAAATTTGAGAGCGTTCATAAATATTCAAGAAGATCAAACAAGAGACATAGAATTAAGAACTCAAGCAAAAGAGTTGATTTAGATGGTTTGACGTTTAAATTCATTTGTTCCATTAAGATCTGGTGCGATGTTTTAAATTTAGTAAATGTGGTAAATGATATAATGCAAAACTCTAAATGTGATTTACAAATCGTGACTGACAATTTACAAAATCTTAGATCAGAACTCAATAATCGTAGACCTGATGAAGCGTATGAATACGCAATTGCCAATGCAAGTATCGTTGCTGATGGTTTGGGGGGTGGATACTGACTTTCGAAACAGGTTTAAAAAAACGGCTTTTAAGTCGAAACAAAACAGGTTTTTTTTTCGAAACAGGTTTTAAGTCGAAACTGGTTTAAAAAGAAACTACTTCAAGATGAACAAACCAATCAAAAATCCGAGACAAAAATTTAAGGTTGAATATTACAATATAATATTAGACACTGCTATTTCTTCAATTATTGAAATATTCAGTCAATTAAAAGAACATTACATTTACTTCAATTCAGTATATACCTAATTTAAAAAACTGGAGTGACAAAGACAAAGAAATTTTAAAGCATTGTAGAGGATTAGAACAAAAGTTAATGGATACTAAAAATGTTAATGGAAAGGATACTGACGGATTAAATTTGTTTGAAGAAATAAAATCTTTGCGACGTTTTACCAAAGAGGATTTGTTCACATATTGATGTTTTTAAATTATATTTATGAAAACAATCTTACGGATACATTTCCAAATATTGCAATAAATTTTACGGATTTTTTTAAACCCTGAGAGTTTCGGTGGCTACTGGAGAAGGAAGTTTTTCAAAACTTTAAAAGTATAAAAAACTACATGCGATCTACGATGGCGCCGGAGAAATTATCGGACTTGGTCGGATATCCAAAGAGAGCCAAATTTTGGATAAATTAAATGTAAAGGAACTGATACGCGCGTTTGTAGCTGCTAAAGCTAGGGAAATCAATATTTGAATATATTTTTCTAATTTTATATTTTACTTAAAAAATGTTTTATCATTGCTTAGTTTTTAAAATTTAAGAAATAATAAAAAACAAAAACAAAAACACGTGTTTTTAATATTATAATTCTAAAGCTTTTCAGTTCGAAAGTCAAATTTTGAATATTATAAAAGAGTATTTCACACGTAATTTGCAGCACTTTGTATGAGTGCAACAGAACCCCATAAATGGCGCCAACTTTCAATTTGAACAAGGGCGCCTAATACCCACGCGGCGGCTTTGGGAGTAGCTAGTAAACTGGACGACTGGCTTTTCCGAAATAGAACTGCATTTGATTGGTTGTGACTTATCTCACTTGTCTGACAGTAACAGCAGAACAATCCCATGAAATACCTCGTGGCAAGGAACGCAAGTGACGCCTGCCTCTAGCACCTTACAGGTGACACTGCGATTTAGCTCAGGTCGTAGCATTATACTTCAAGTGTCGTACTAATGAAAGTACATTACTTGACCTGATATAATCTATTTAAGGCTTGAAATAATGTAGTAGTGCTTGTCCCGAATAGGTGCATGTTAGTAGAGAATGAAATTCTTGATTTACATCAGTTTTTCGCAGAAGTTTATTGCAAATGTGGCTCCATGTATGTGTCGAGAATGTAACTACATATTTATCGTCGTAAAATCAGTGAAGTGCTGATTACATGTGCAAATACCATGATGCTGATTGGCTGAGGTGAAACGAACTTAAGATACACATGTTGCTTTATGTTAAAAAATCATGGTCTATATACAAAACTAATGCACAGAACTGTTGTCTAACAATGTCTGTTATAGAAATATATCAGTATAATGATAGACGCAGGATAATTGTAGATAAATAAGAAACTTGAGTATAAGGGTGTGGCCGCTAAGCATCCAATACAGTTGCAAATAATTAAAGTAGTAGACTAAGAATTCTTGATTAATTACAGAATGAAATAAGTGCTAAGACGTCAATCAAAGTTCATATTCAATAGTCCAAATATTGAAGCATAGAGAAAACTTGAGTAAATACTAAGTGATAAAGACTAAAGAACGATGATGAATATATACAAATGCTACCAACTAACATTGTGATGAATTGTCCGCGTTCGTTTGAATAAGGCTGAGTAATTAAGTAATCATAAATGCCTGTGTTTTTGATAAGATCTGAAGGCTGATTTTCAATTCTAGTATAAAAATTTGTGGACAAACTTTAAGATTTCTTCATCTATTGTGTTGATTTTGATATCCCTATGAAGAACTTCGTTTCTTACGAACCAAAATGGTGATCCATAGTTCATGACTGGTCTTATGGATCACCAGTTTGGGCGGCAGCTTCTCGCACGAACAGAAATCCTCTTCAAACAAAACAAATCATAAGAACCATGCTGGGTGCACTATGGTTCGTACGAAACGAAGTTTTTCGTAGGGATAGATTAGTTTCGCTCCCAGTTTTGATGGAGAGCACCCAGGGGGAAGGACCGAAGGGTCTCCAACCTCTCTCCCCTTCCACCAATCCACACGAGAAAACTTTCAGCTCTCCGCATATATAGAGTGCCCCCATGCCACACCGACACTATACATTTATAAACATCCATGCCTTCTCCGGGTTTCGAAGCCTGGATCTTTGGCATGGCAGTCAGCGACGCTACCACTATACCGGTTGAGCGGTATAGTGGCTTAGGCTTGCAACCATTAATCAAGTATTCTTTTGTTTGTTATGTTTTCGTTATTTTAACCTTTTTAGTTGCCCGGAGCTTGGGCTTGGTTCCCGGAGCTAAGATTGAATAAATGAATGGTACTAAAAATCAAGAAAATTAAATAATAACAGTGTGTTTAGTTTAGTTTAGTTTACGAGTATGCTGCAACCCTCCTGGCCGACAGTAATGGGCCTCATGGTTAACGCAGAGCACCCGACGCAGAAAAAACAATAACAAAATAATAATAATAATAAAATAAATAAATAAATAATAAATAAAAGATTAAAATATTTAAAGTCCTATTCCTATGATAGTCTTATTTCATTCACAATCCTCATAATTTCTGTTGCATAGCTATTCAAGAATTTTCTTTTTGAATTACATTTTGTTCATCATTTATTTTCCAAATCTCGTCCTCACACTCTCGGTCAGTTTACATTCTTCCATAAAATGAGCTGCATTTCCGTACTTCCCACAAGCCAAGCATTGATCATTGCCCTGGAGATTAAATCGTTTTTTTTAAATAGGCCGGGAATCTACCATGACCCGTGATAACTTGAATAGTATCTATATTATTAAATAGATCCATTTTTCTTTTTATGGTCAAAATCCTCAAGTAACCCTTATTTTATTTGAACCATTCCATTCCCGAGCCCATTTCTCAATTATACTTGCTTTCATTTTTCTCAAGGTAATTCTTCTGGAATCATTAATAGCCTCATAAATATCACCCTCTCCCAGGGCAGTCTCTTTAGCTAGCATATCCACCCTTTCATTCCCCATAACACCAATATGTGCCTTGACCCAATGAAAATATATAGCATTTTTCTCTCTTATTTTATTATAAATGTTTTTTTATATCCAAAAGAAGTCTATTGCTTGGTTCCGGATTTGCCAAACCTTGTAGGGCCGAGACAGCATCAGAATAATATGTATTGTAAAGTACTGTTTTAAGTTTTTATAACTCCACCACACCACAGCTGAAGCGGTTGCTTAGTGCCTCTCTAATTGCAACCGCTTCAGCTTGATACACTGATTTATTTCCTTCTAATCGTATTTTTCTATTATAGATTTCGACTCCGTAATAAAAAATAACAAAAGCGCAACCAGTTCCACCTACATATCCGGGGCCATCAGTGTATATATCAATCATGCCAGTATTCATATAATCTTTATCGTACGGTATGCCTTTGAAATCTTTTGGATGTATATTAATAAAATCGTTCTTGTCAAGGCGTTACCATTCAAAACATCACCATTTTCACATTGTTAAAATCTTTTTAAAACCATAGCTGAGTAAAAATGTTTCATAATAAAATTATAAAAATTGAGAGTGGCGGAATGCCAGCAAGTAAGTAAATAACTTCTGTAGAAACAGTACGGAAAGCTCTTGTGATTGCAAGCAGCCAGCTCCTTTGCAATGAATCCAGTTTAGTTCTTAGTCTAATCAATTCCCCTGCCCGGCAGCCCCACATGCCAATACCATATAAAATTTTTGGCCTAATAACATTTAAATAAATATCTCTAAGGGTAGTGCTTTGTAGCTTTAAAGTTTGTGAATCAAAGGCACTTCTATAATATTTTAAAATTTTCTCTTTATCTCTGTGGATCGCCTTAAAATGTTCAATAAAAGTTAGCTTTTCATCAATAATCACTCCAAGATATTTAAAGTGACTTTTGAAATTAATCTTTATACCATTAAATTTCAACTTTGGTTTTCTAGTAGCCTTACCACCCCCTAGGAAAGAAAATTGGCATTTATTTTTTCATTGTTGAAACTCTATATTTTTTCTCTCTACTCGCCAGTTCATAAAATTTTCCTCTAAACTCTTAAAAGTTTTTTTTTCGAGTTTCTCTAAAGACTCATCATAGACAACTAGCCAAAATATCATCCGCAAAGCAAGAATAATTCAAATACCAGGTCATGTTAATAAAAATTTTATTGACAATGAAGGCTCCAAGAACAGGGGTGCGCTGCAGGAGCCTTGAGGACATTCCTCTTTCATATCGTCATAAACAAGATGGACAGAATCATTTTTATTTTTGAAAACAATCTTCCTATTTTTTAGATAATCTTTAATAATTTCAAATAGTTGTTTTGTGATCCCTATTTTCTTCA